GGGGGGGGGGGGAGAAGCACCACCACCCCCAATTCCCCCTCCAAAATCCGATTGGGAAGCATGGCAGGAAGGAGGACCGCCGCGGAACGCACAACACCGAAGCCAAACTGACAGCCACTCTAATGGCGCCTGCCTCCCCTCTGAACACGGCCAGCTCGGGACTCTGGGAATACCGTGGTTATGAAGGAGAATGTGCAACCCCCCCCTTCCGAAACCCTAAACCTTAAACTCGAAACCCAAAATGTTAAGCTCGAGACCCTGAACCCTAGGTTCGTAACTCTAAACCCTAAACCCTAAACCCTAAACCTTCAGGTTCGCGAGAGCTTCGTTGAGACCTGGTTTGGGAGCCGCCGGAATCAACTGAGCCTCGGAGCCACGCCGGAGCTAAAAGGCGACTGGACAGAGCTGAGGAAACCTTTTCGGATGGGTTTTAGGGGCGTTTTCGGCTTTTGGGTTTAGGGGCTTTTGGGGTTTAGGGGTTTAGGGTTTTGGGTTGTTACCGGGTTCAGATCTTAGAAGTTTAGTGGTTCGGGGTGTGTGCTTAGAGAGGCCTTTTTGGGGCTGTGGTTTTACAAAGAGTTGTGGGTTTTCGGGGTTTGGGGTTTAGGGTTCAGGATAGTTCCTGAAAGTGGGAGCTGCCCATCTCGATGCTCTTGCAGCTATTGCCGTGTGGCCCGGTCTTCAGCACTAGAGGGCGCCACACACTTCATAGGGCCCACTATACTAGAATATACTATAATATAGGATAATATACGATAATATACGATCATATGGAATAATATACGAGAAATATTATAATCTAATTAGTATACTATAATATGATATAATATACTATAATATACTATAATATACTATAATATACTATAATATACTATAATATACTATAATATACGATAATATACTATAACATACTATAACATACTACAACATACTATAACATACTATAATAGAATTAACACAATATACTATAACATACTATAACTATAATAAGTTAAGGCATCGTGGGCCGGGGCGCGGCCTCAGCGATCACCGCTTTCTTTGCATCGAAGCGGCAGGGAGCAAGTGGCAAGGAAGCGCTTGCCAGAAGCTGTGCAGTCTTCCGGCAGGCCTTGGAGGGTGTGGTGTGCCCTCTTCTGATCTCAAAGCCGATACTTTCGTTCCTACGCAGCTCTCTACTCTGAAGCCGAAGCTCGGAAGTCCAGGCCTCTTTGGATGGTGCACTGGACGTTGGCTTGTCCTGCATGGCCGCCAACCTCTCCAGCACGGCCTCGCAGACGCTGCTGGAGAGCTCATCGGCCTGGGCGGCCTTGAGCCCATACTTGGAGGCTCTGTGAGGTTCCTGTGCTTTCAGGCTCTGGTAGGTTTTCAGATTCAGGGGACCCTGAACCCTCAGCCCCTGGCCGAAAAATCCTCAAACTGCAAACCCTCTGGCGGCCGTCGGGTAGGATGGGGTTGCCTCCTTGGTGCGGCCAATCGTCCAGGCCTGCCTGCCGCTGGTCGGCCTTGATACTTTTTTTTGCTGGTTCGGTGCGCTCCCCGAATAGAAGCAATAGCGATGACGCCAATCGGTGAACAGTGTCATAGTGTAGTCGTTTCTCATGGTAGCTCTTAAACGGGAGAAAGGAAGGGCAGCTGCCAAGTGGAAGACTTCGGACGTGAGTGGCTGAAGCAATTCATCCAGCTGCAGCTGCTGCGGCTGCTTCGACAAGCGGGGGTCTCGAGCACTGCCCTCCAGTTGCTCTCAGCGAGTCCTGGGTGAAAGAAGAGTTTAGGCTTCTAGGCGTTGAGGGTGCAAGGGGTACTTGCCCAAGGGTTTCGAATTTGGGATTGGGGATTAAGGCTTCACGTTGAAGGCCTCAGCCGCCCTCGGGAGTGAGCTTAGCTCCTTGATAGGAGAGCTGAAAAAAAGACCAGGAGCTACTCGAAGATTTTCGACAACCTCGCCCGTGGGAATCTGGACTTGTTGCAGCTCCTTGTGGACTTGGCGCCTGTGGTCCTGGAGGTGCCATAGCTTCGGCTTCGACACGACATGACATAGCTTCAGTCTAGGATGGGCCCTTGATGCTCTGGTCCTTGAAGGTTCTACTGGGCCGAAACATCCACCTGTCAGAAGGCTCGAAGTGTCGACTACTGAGCATATCTAAGCAGCAAAACGGACAGCAGTTGCGACCATCACCGGGATCAGACCCTTCGTGTTACGGGGCTCGAAAATTTTGAGAGGAAGGAACAATAAGAACCCTCAAACTAAGAGCCGAAATCGACCCGAAAACCCTCAGCAGGTTTGGATACTGATGTTGATCCGTGCTGCCAGCAAAGGGAGCAGCCCCACAACCGAACGATGAATTCGAGAGGCTCCTGCAGCATGCGAAATCCGAGGAGCCCTGAAGTAGAACTAGCTGCCTATAGAGCTTCTCACTGCGAGCTTAGGTAAGCTGAGGCCCTTCACTTTACCCCGCAGTCTGAATCCCGAATCCTGAATCCTATAACCCCCTGTATCGACCGTCCATATCAGGTACTTCTCAAGGCTGCCGTGTCCGGCACAACCCACGGTTGGCTCCTGGCTTACGTTGTGGTCCCGCTACTCTTGGAGCTCTTCAAGAGTTCTTCTGCCCCATGCCTCGAGGGATTGCTAACCCTGAACCCCATCCGCGGTCTAGGGTGTAAGGTAAAGTTCTTTCCAACGATGCTCCCGTCGGATAAGGGTTCAGGGGTTAGGGTTTGGCTCAGGAGTTGAACCGGTTCTGGGTTTCTCTTAATTAGACTCCATGCACAGGTATCCATACAGTGGATACTACAAAGCTTGCGAATTTCAAGGATCATAGATGGTACATAGCCTTTTTTGCCTGCAGTATAGCGCACCTTCCAGATGGACCTGCTGCGGTCTCTTTAAAGCCCGTAGAATGTCACAGCATTCAGACATGTTCAGACACGGCTGTAAAAGGGCTTCTTCGAGAAAGGAACGCGGTTGCGACTGCCCAGGTGCAGAGCGTACTGGGCCAAGTATCGAAAGCCGTCCTCGCATGCGCGACCTCCCTCAAGGATCCTCAGCTGAATGGACTGGACCCGGCCTAGGTGCATCGTTGCGATTGCTTCTGTTGTTTCGGTCGGTACTGATTACTGCTACTAGAGCATTTTAGGGCCTTCCCAAGGCTTTCCGCCCTAGACGTGAAGCTCTGAACTCCCGAGCGCCGGGCTCCCAACGGGAAGCAACGACTGTCAGAGACTCAGGAGTGGGTGGTGCAAGCCCTCGAAAGGCTTGGAAAACTCTTGTTGGAGGTCGGCGCACCTTGGCCCCCGAGTCCAGCAGTCAGCAGTCGGGTCTCGGATTCAGGCTTTGGGGTTTCAGGTTGTGGAGTTTCCAGTCCCAAGGGGGCAGGGTTTGGTTTAGTATCGTCGGTGCATCCAGGTCTGGTAAAGGAACTAGCAGGGCAACAGGTTGTGAGAGTTTGCTCTAAAGGGCTTTGGAGTTGTCTGATCTTGGACTCACTTGACCATAAACCTAAACTCCAAAACCAACTCTTCAAGGGATCCAGACTGTTGGCAAAGGTTGCACGTGCCATTGAAGGGTTTTGCCCGGAGGCAGAATCCTTCCTTGGCTCCCCTATCCAGTCTAATGGCTCTAAGTATCTACACCTCTTCCCTCTATATCATGAGGCTTCGTGGACTTAACGCCTAAAGGGTTGGGGCTTTTCCGGCTTACGATTCAGAGTTTAAAGGTACACAATCCGCACGGCCTCACTACAGCTGCTACATGCATAACAGGTGCCTGCCTGCTCAGTATTTCCTTGCGGTTCCCTGGCTTACTTCTCTATAATTTTGAGCTGGTCAGTGGAAAAAATAGAAGCTATTTCTGTCGAAATGGCCCTTGCTACACGATGCTACGGGATAAAATTTACATCTACCCCGAAAAACTGTTGTGATTGTTAAGACCCTTGTTTCGCCCATCAGAGCAGCTTTGCGGTGGGCTTGGCAATACTTGCTAGAACTATCGTGGCCCTGATGCAACGTAGCTTGCTGGGGGCGACGGGGCTTTCGCATTCATCCAGACGCCTGAAACCCTAAATAGAGGGAGCCTGTCCACCAAGCCTTTAGGTCACTACTACAAGTAATGTAAGTCTACTATAGTGTACTTGCTAAGCTGCATCTATTGTGCATTTTGGACCCTTTAAGGCGGCCGGTGTGGTCACCGCCACGGCGGCTGGTGTCGTGACGGGCTCCTCGACTTCCTTGTCCTTGTCTTTCGGGTTTTGGGGCTTTGAGGTCTAAGAGAAGGAAATTCGGACGGGCTTAAGTTTGGCACATAGGCTTGGACAGTGAAGTGCTGTCGGGGGAAGCCATGAACCTATCAGCGTCAACCCGGTCACATGAGGGACCGTTCCGACCTGCTCTTGTGACAGCAGGTTCCAAGGGATGTGCGCAATGCGTTCTCAATCGGTTAGGAGTTTCAGCGAACGTGCAAGACTAATCGACAGGCGCTTTTCCTGGCCTCAGCTAGCGATGTGTTCTGACATGAGCCCTAGTTTCCACATCCCAAGCCTGGACCCCAGACCGTGCAAGGTTTCAGCCTCAAACCTAAGCCTCAAACCCCAAACTCTACAGGCCTGAAGCCCTAAACCCCGCTAAACCTTGTGAAGCTCCGAGAAGACTGCGTCTGGTCGCGAGTAAAAATCACAACCCTGAAACCTCGAGCCCTAAACGGCCTAAACGCGATTCGCTCCCAAAGCCCAGACTTTAACCCTGAACCTTTCACCCCAAAACCCTAAACCCTAAACCCTAAACCAAAACCCTAAACCCCCACTTCTCCAGAGCAAGGCATGTCCGCAGCTTCCGTGGCCTCAGCAGCCCTGGCTCCCTCCGCCTGCGTTGCGGGCTCGCCGACCCTGGGGTCAGTGGCTGCGGCTCGGCCTAAACAAAGGGGCCTTTTGTTAGTTAGCATAGGGTTTTGGGGTCCGTTATATTATGGCGACGATAATGGAATATAACGAACCCTTAGGAATAATATTGGTAATTATGGAGGGCTGGCTTGCTACTAGTACTGCTGTTGCTACTGCTACTGCTACTGCTGCTGCTACCACTACGGTTGTTTCCGCCAGAAGTGATTATCACTAGTACCATAGCAACAACTACGGCAAGTTGACTGCGGTTTCTCTAGGACTTGACGCTTCACATAGTCAGGAGTGAGGAGATTGTAGTAACAGTATGCTCTCGCTCAGTAGGAAGGCAGGCTTGAGGAACAGCTCTTCCAATGCTGCTACTACTACGACGCTAACCGTTATCTTTGCGGCTGCCGCTGCTGCAGCTGTTCCTCTTTTTCCGAAGCTGGTGCAATCAAACCCTCAGCCCCCAAACCCCAACCCCTAAACCCTAAACTTGAGGCCCTGATACCCGACATTTCAAGCCTTTGCCATTCTTCTGTAGGTAAGCTTGGGCCTCATGGCTTCTCCGGCAGCTCCCGCTGGCCTCGTTCTTGGCGTGGCTTCCGTAAGCGGAGTGGTGGTTGGCGTGGTGGCCGCTTGAATGGAAGAGGAGGCGAAGGTTTCGAGCTTTGGGGCCTCAGGGGGCTACTCTCAGAGGGTGTCGAAGAAAGATTAGGCAATGTGTATGAGTTGGGCGTCTTTACGCGTGCGCGTCCGGTGCTGTTTCACTTATCAGCTTCAAGACACCACCCGAGCGCGTCAGCCGTGACAGCTCCCTGATGCCCGGAATCAGTTCTAGTAATACCCTTCCATCTATTATACTCGTGCAGTCTAGTGTCGCCAACGAACAGCAAGCTCAGTACGTCGACTATGCACCTTTCCGGAGTGAAGCAGAAGCCCTCGGGCCCGAACAGTTTAAGGTCGAAGGTAATCCAGACCTTTAGCCCGCAAAGAGAGGAATAGCTCCCGCACCATCCCAAGAGAAGAGAGCACTTCGGGCAAGCACTCGCCTGCTCGGGTTCTTATGACGGTGGCGTTGGAGATCAAGAGTTCGGCCTTCTGCTTTTGGGTCGAAGGGTTTAGGGTGTCGACCCCTAGCTTTGACAACACTCTTGGGTGACGCATATTAGGGTGGAGTACGGTAGCAACTCGTGCTGGCAGGCTCAGAATGATATGTCCAACGGTCTAAGACCTGATGGCTATGGCTGATCTTTTAGGCTACGATGGTCAAGATGGGAACTTGTGATTGTCCCGTGCTTGCCCTGGGCCAAGATCATGTTGGGCTTCAAGCAGGCGCAAGTGCCCCTTGGGAAAGACTTGGTCAGGTCTGGTAGTGCTTATTGCAGGAACCGCAAACAGTGCCTGAGTAGACATGCCACTACTGGGTTGCTTGCGCATCGTGTCGAAATTCCAGACTTTTCCGAACAGACCAGCGGTATTGTGAAGGCAATGGCCCTTAAGGCTCTTGCGGGAGGAGTTCAGCCAGGGAAGTTGGCAACAGCGCTTGGAGAAGGACTTCAAAGGTAAACGGTCAGCGGCCGCAGTAGCAATGCTCATGTTACATGGATCGGAAGATTTACCAACATCATTCCTTCGGATTCCTTTTGAAAAGTATACTATACCATACCCCAACAACCTTATTATAATTACGATCCGCCTTATATTGCTCGTAGTGATCATGGCCAGCCCATTGAATCACAATTATTTAGGCTAGTCTTGTTCTTCACATCTACATGTGACCTTGATTTTTTTTGCTGTTCCCTGGCTCCTGACCGGGTGGTGGCAGGATTCTGTGGTTTCCGTGTTCATCACGAAACCCAGAAGGAGGTGCGCTGTGCAACCGTTTAGGGTTGTGGCGCTTTTGGTTCTTAGGATTTCAGGGTTCAGGGTTCAGGGTCTAGGGGTTTATGGGTTCATGCTTGTCGAGCCTCGGAACTAGTCAATGGTGAGCTTCGCGAATTGAGAACCCTGTCATCTAGGCAAATCGAGATTGCGAGGACCCCCGGCCCCAAATTTCAACACTGAGTGCGAACATTGGGTGTTTCGGTTGACGATTTGGGACCCGGGCAAAGCCAAGAAGCTGCAGCTTACATCCGTATCTCATGACGTCTTGTGCTGCAACGAGTCCCAGTTTCTGCTGGGTTGCGACCTTTAGAATCCAATTGTGTGTCCTTGGTGGTAGCACTAACAGAGAACTTGCGCCACCTGCCATTTAGGTGGGTTGACGGACGAGTTTGCCGAGTGTCAGCAAGGTCAGTGAGCGTGAAATATTTCCTCGGGAAGGAGGAGCCGCAAATGCGAGTTCCAAAACCCTCAACCCTAAAACCGCCAAGTGTTCAGCGCTCAGCTTACGATGGATCGGCTCAGGCCCCACGCTCAATAAGCTGGAACCCAGGAACCACTCTTCAGGGCCTGAGCATTTCCTAGGTTAGGTTTCAGGGCTTTATGTTTCGAGAACCGACAGGACGTGGAGCTTCGGGATTTCGGGAAGAAACCCTTCTACGCTTGGCCCGACCCTTGACCCAGCTTCTGTTCCGTCCTACATCCCAACAAGACTGCGCCTGCATTCGCACGTGCAGGTCGGAATAATTAGTACCGTTCTCTCCTTTTCGTCCCTATATCATTATGCTATAGTGTGCCCCGGCAGCCCATTCTCACTATGACATGAAGGCCCCTAGGAAAGCCCCAATCGACGCCCCTGGAGGAGCATCGAATTCCCGTGGCCCGGGACGACGCCCGGCAACTTCGTCCTGGTGGGGCCGACGGCGCTGTCTTGGCGATCTCGGCCGCCTTACCTAGTTGAGGATGGGGTTTCGAGAAGAGGGAGGACCGCCAACCTGCCAAACCACATTTGGAAGGACGAGTTGTGGAAACTCCTCAGGGAGCAGTGGGCTTCAGACAGGTGGGTTCCCAGGGCTCGGGGCATGGACATGTTTGCTTTGGGGTTCAGGGCTTTCATGTTTCTTTCTTCGCTTTTTGGTGTCTCGCCAGAAGTCGCGGGTGTCAAGCCAGACCGTCGTGGCATTGATAGCCTTCAAGGTCGAAGCCGAGGGCAGGCATAGCTACTGATTGCTACGCTCCTTGCGAGCTCCAAGAACGTGCAGACAGTGTAACGTCGTAGACTTATAGCACCATACTGCAAAGATGTGGCTTCAGCATGAGCTTCGTCCTCCCAAGCATCAGTCCTGAAATGCTTTGCAGACAGGCAGGTTCTGAGGTTCAGATTCGGGGTGATCTATTCAACCGGAAGTCTCACGCCCCATGCCAGGCACACTTCAACAGCTTAAGCCCAACCCTGCGAAAGCCGTAAACCCGACAGTCCTACTAGAGAAGCCTGACAAATTAGCAATAGTATCCCCTTAGAGCCCTTCTACCAATTACCCCCCAACAAGCCCTTTCTAGTTATTCAGGCCTCTACTGTACAAATGGGGGCCTCAGTACTCACCTATACTATTTTGGGGGCTCCTTATTAGAATTCTAGTATACTATGCCACAAAACCCTGTTCTAATTATTGAGGCCCCTATATTATCTTACGTCTCTGGCAATTATTTTCCTGTGGCCTGGGCTTCGGAGCCATCCTGGGCTCAGGCATGTTTGGGGTTGAGGGGTTTAGGGCTTGGGGTTTACGGGTTTAGGGGAAAGGGGTTTAGGGTTTAGGGTTGAGGGTTGATGAGTTCAGCTTCTCTTGCATTTGTAGGTGGGTTTCGGTTTTAGGCTCCACGGTTTAGTGGTTGGAGGCGGGTGTGGTGTTTAAGGCTTAGGGACTCAGGATCAAAGTTTAAGGGTTCATGTCCCAAGCCTTAACCGCTTGATCCAGCCGTGCGCGCTCGATGCGGGCAACCGGGCACGTAAAAGGTTAACATGAACCTTAAACCCTGAAGTAAAACCTTAAAGCAGCTCAAAGCTCATTCTTTATGAAGCTCGCGCCGAGGGTGTCGAAGATGATGCTGCGAGTCCGTCGAAGGTGGCCTGCGCGGCAGGGGCCTAGCCCAGCTTTGTGGCCAAGGCGGATGGCCTCGTTTCAGGGTTCTACAAGACTCCAGGGGTTACCACAAGGGTACTATAGCATAGAGGGCTTACTAGAATTGGTCACTAAAGGGGTCTTACTATAATCAGGTTAGTTTAATGCACGGAAACACCGATGACGTGCCGAAGATCTCACCTGGATCTCACCTGGTATCAGGCATGGATGACCTTGGGTCGGTATCCTGAGAAGCACGACATCCTCTAAGTTCGTGGGTGTCTGTGGTGCCCTTGAGGCCAACATGCCAGTGCCTGGCAAATGACAGCAAGGCGATGCGCCAACGCGCTTGCTGGGGGCATCCTGGATTCAGAGCCCGACAGGCGATCCTCCACACTGCTTGGCAGGGTAGACCTCTGAATGGTGAGTTGAGCGATTTCTGGCTTTTGTGGTCCATGTAACTTCGCAGATATCATGCCGACTGTTGATACTTCATCGTGGAAATGGTGATGATGATGGTGTTCAA